AGCAAAGATTTATCACACAACGACAATCCTTGTACAGACAGTAGACAGAACCGAACAAATTTCACTTCTGCAGTAAAATACTGCAAAAGTAAACTTTGACGTTCTGTCATATATCATGTACAACAATTAAAGTTGTGCAATACTTTAACGGTCAGTATCACTCTTCTAACGAGTAGTATACAGCCGACCTCTATTTATACGAGGATTTATACGCCCATAGTGCTGCGATAGTAGATAAACTAATAGATAGTTTTTTTGCTTTGCTGCATATTCACTCATACATTGATGAATCATCTAGCCCAAATAAAAACTATCTATTAATTTAATTTGAAAATGTCAGATCTTACACTCTTAGCATTCCGATGCAAAATACCAAATCCAAGTATTACTTTATATAACAATAAATTATGCATTACAAAATCTGTTAGGAAATAGAGTGTCGATGATAGTCGATATCATGACTTTTTAATAACCTGCACTGTTACTGTATCCACATAATGAAAAAATAAGAGAAAAATCCATAAAATAAAATTAGCTTGTTCAGTCACGTTCCTGTCTATTATGTTGTGAACAGAAGAATAAATATTTCCTTTCCTCTATCATTACAAAACTACCTGACAAAGGCGTTGTTCTTAAACTTATCTTAGCTTCTTATATAGAATATTCTACACAGTACCTTTAAATCAATTACTCTTTATGCCTAGAATTGCAAAAAGGCATGATATTTAGAATGTTTTGGTTAAAAAATCTATGTGTTGCAGATTTCTTCAAACCCATTATATACAGCTACCGATTGTCTACAAAACAATACTGGAGCTGCGTTGATGAGATATTCGATACGTATGAGAACAGATGTACGGAGAACGTCTTAACTGTACAAAGTTGACGAGAAGGGAAAAGATATTTATTCTTTTATCTGGAATATATATATATACAAGGGGGCAAGCACCAGAGTGATAAGGTGATTAATCCTCTAAACTTTTCTCAACTGAAGATTCATCAGTTTCATCGACGCAGGTAGTAAAATTGTTGCTATGTTACACACTGGAAAAGGAATTGAATATATTTAGCATATGTTCAACGTGATCATCAAAATCTTTAAACAATGTCTCGATCAGGGTTGCCAAATCGCTCGATTTGACCAGGAGACTCCTGGTTTATAGAATTTTCTCCTCGTAAAAAAAATCACCTGGATCTAGGAGCTTTTTTTAAAGATTTTCTCCTGTTTTTCGTTTTTTCAGCTTAGCAACATTGTGAATCCATAGAAATAGTGAAAAAAAGAACTGTCGCGATGTTTAATGGATGCAGCAACCAATAAGAAGACCCGTTGGTTCTTCCTGTTTTGTTCAAGGCTAAGATTATCAATTTCATAAACAGAAATCTTGCAGTAAGAACCTGTGTAATTGTAGATTAAAAGAAAAGAACATATTACGTGATTATTGAATGTTTTCGTCGCAGAAAAAATGTGAGATTATTGAAGTTACAATCCCATTAGAGCAAAACCTAGACTGCAATTTCTGTAATCAATTGTGATACTCTTTCACTGAAACATATTTCAAAATCGAGAACTACTTCATCGTCATCACCATGTACTACAGTAACTAAACGTTATGCATCCAAATTTAAAAAGAATGGTTGTGAAATCCCACATATTCTTCATTTTTGAGGCAACACTACACGCACTACCTATACGCGTCTAGACAGAACGCGTTTAAGGGGAGGAAAACCCCGCTGTTTTTTTACATTACTTTGTTGCCCATGTCGACTTACATATATCGTGGTACGTTTGAATCCATAGACACTTCTATTTTAAGCTGTATTTCCTCTTATCTCTTAGATATATTTCGATTCTTTTAGATTTAGTTCCTCTAAAACACCAAAATCGTCTTAACATTGTGCAACATTTATTACAGCATTTGACAGACATATCGTCGTTACAGTTAGCAGCACTTTCAGCCCCACCACAACGAATGCAATTTGAACGAACAATATCAAATGTTACAAAAAGAAATCCTTCTCATAATCAACCTTCGAAACGTTTGCAAACACAGCGACAAACTTCATCATCCATCACATTGTCAAATATTTGTTTACAGAAACGCTCTCTAAGCAATATTCGTCAATCTATAACACGCTGTAGTCGTTCAACAACTGTAAAATCAGCAGTGAAAAAAAATATTACAAAAGAAGTTCAGATTATTGAACCAAAAGGATCAGTGAAAAATAGCTCGGCAAAACCGCAAGAAAGAAAGCGTAAAATATCTACAGTACACGCACATAATGAACAGCAAGTGTCGAAACAAAAACGTCAAAAAACAATAATCTACGATCCCACTTTTCTAAAGCAATGACGATTTTTTATTATTTTTTTCTCCATTTTCAATCTCTCATGTTATTTTTCACCTTGGGATTCTACAATAAAACAGTCAATACACTTTTTGTAAAGAATTCAACGAGGATTCTTTTGGTGAAAATATTTGGGACTATAATTCTTTTTACGCCATCCGTTAGAAGCGAAAAACGTCTAAATTTGTGTTAAAACTGATGTTGGTTTTATACGAATTATGCGGACACAGACAAATAGAGTGAATAATTCGTATGCTCACCCAATTTTCTCTCATATTTTCTTCTACACTTATCAATTTCTACGTTTTTTTCTCACAGTTATTATGTTCACGGCTTTATTATAGTGCCTATTTACCTATTTATCTTATGGTTTTTCCTTTACAATTTGAAACTCACGCTTTCTATAGTCAGTTTCCTCCACATTAGTTAAGTGTGATCAAAAACGGGCTATTTATCTTTTTCTTTCTTTCTTTATGATACAATGTTAGTTCTCGAGACAAAACAGATCGCACGTTCTAATTTGCATTTAATTTGAATGTATGAGTGAATATGCAGCAAAGATTTATCACACAACGACAATCCTTGTACAGACAGTAGACAGAACCGAACAAATTTCACTTCTGCAGTAAAATACTGCAAAAGTAAACTTTGACGTTCTGTC